TTCAGACTTTCAAAAATATCATTTTTTTATTGCAATAGTATTATTTATTCTGTAAATTTTACATAATAACATGAGAACATTTAAATATTTTTAAATCCTCCAAAACCTACTACCAAGCAATAGTTTTATTCTCATTTTGTGTTTACCTAATTTTTATATGTATGGTGCATGCTTATGTTTCTTAATGAATAAAGTCATGTGAACATGCATAACTGTCCTTTCATCTTCTGTACCACTTAACTTTTTCATATTTTACACTTGAATGATGTAATTTTAAAGATTAAGTCATTTGTATTTTGTAATTTTTAGTAATTTCTTGTTTTTGTATTGGATGAATGAGTAATGTATTGGAGTGAAATAGATATTTTGAGATTCGATGATTGTTTACAGCCCTTGTCTCTTGTTTAGAGGTAGAGAGCTTTTTTCCCTCTCTTCATACCATTTGTCGAACTATTTTACTTATTGTGGGGTTAATTATGCAATCATTAAGTAAACTGAAAATATATCTTTGTAAAATTAAGAATTGGTATGTGCGAGGGAGGAGGAGGAAGGGTTGGGGTGTGGGCAGGAGATAGGGTAGGCAAGGGAAGTGTCACTATGTTCCTAAATTTGTATACATGAAATACATAAAAGTTGTATAACTTAAATAAAATTTAAAAAAAATTAAAAATAACTTCACTTCATTTCTGGGTCTAGCAGCTTTAGGTAATAGTTACTGACCTTATCACTTTTAAATAGGAGAGTAACAGACCTCACTACCTCTGGACTTTCGTTAGGAGATAGCTGTGATACTGTCAATGTTTATAACATTTAAATTGCTTCATAAATATTATAACTTTTAATCCTATTGTGTTGAAAATGTCATTCACTCAAGAAGAAGGAATTCCATGTCAAAGTCACACTATATAGAATGTTTCAACCACCACAGTAAAATGGTTTATCTACTCTTAAAAAAAAAGATAGATTAAACTTTTTTTTTTTTTTTTGACAGGCAGAGTGGACAGTGAGAGAGAGAGACAGAGAGAAAGGTCTTCCTTTTGCCGTTGGTTCACCCTCCAATGGCCACCGCGGACAGCGCGCTGCGGCCGGCGCACCGCGCTGATCCGATGGCAGGAGCCAGGAGCCAGGTGCTTTTTTCCTGGTCTCCCATGGGGTGCAGGGCCCAAGCACCTGGGCCATCCTCCACTGCACTCCCTGGCCACAGCAGAGGGCTGGCGTGGAAGAGGGGCAACCGGGACAGAATCCGGCGCCCCGACCGGGACTAGAACCCGGTGTGCCGGCGCCGCAAGGCGGAGGATTAGCCTAGTGAGCCGCGGCGCCGGCCTAAGATAGATTAAACTTTTAAAAGATAAAAGCATATTGCCAAACTTAAAGAAGCAGAAACAATAATAATATACAAAAGCAAAGAGATAGAAGTCTTAACTGGGCTATCTAGAAATAAAACTGAAAGATTAAATACCTACTATGGTAGTAACATTGCACCAAATAACTTCTTTGTATGAACTGATTAAATCTTATTGTGAAATATTCTTTTTTCAAAAGGAAGGACTATAGAGCTGTAAATAAATATCTTTCTAATGTACAAGGCCACTATAAGAGTTTTTTCCTCATTAAAATGAATGAAACCTTTACTTAAAGGACATTACCAGACTTTCAAACCATACTTAAGTAAAGATGAGATGAGGATCAAATAAATCTGATTCAAAGTGCTCTTCAGTTTAAGGAATCTCCTACTGGGAACTAATCTTCAAGCCAGGCCTATTTGATAAATCTGGAAGGTACATTAACCATTAGAGGCAGGTACATGGGAGTCCTTTCCTAAACTATAGTTATAGCTGGTGCTCAGTAGGTAGAGTAAATATTTGGTTTTATGCCCCATTACTTCTACATAGTGATGTCTCCACATCCTTTACTGCCTTTGATAACCTTTCCAGAAGAATTTTCAAATATGGGCTTGGGGTGAGACAGGAACTCTCAAATAATCTCCAGAAATCCTAGCTTTCGGTAAATGTGTGTGTGTGTGTGTGTGTGTGTTACCAAGAGCAGCAAAAGTTGAAATAAATGCAGGAAGAATTTTATTAGGCCTCCATCTTTTCAGAGGCTGACAATTTATTTCCCTTGGAAAAAAAGAGGAAGAAAGAATGTTCTATGGAGAAGTATCACAAATCGTTACCCTACTCTGCCACATGTAAATCTTTTCTTTAATAATTCTTCACATTGCCAGATCAGAGAAAAACAAAATCAGATGTAAAGCTCTTTATGTTCAGAATTCAAGTGTAAGTAGAACAAATTTTATGTTAAAACAAAGTCGTCTCTTACCTTCATTCTGGAATTCTAACAGTGAAGGCTTCTAGAAATTAGTTATGTAATACCTAAGAATTTGAGGACTTTCATACAATTGCACTGCTTGCTTCATATTTTTTAGATAAGATAGTGGCAAATATTTCAGTACAGTGTTACAGCAGAGACAGTTTATAATTCAACAGACCCAATGCATTGAATTTTAGAACAAGTATCAAAAGTTAGAACTAACCATATTTTGTTTAAAACTTTTATATCAAATTTTGATACTTTTATCTGCCACACAGAGTATGATTTTTTAGTTTTAATTTTGAATGGGCCCAAAGTATGACACCATCCTTCTCACCTCTCACTCCAGTGTCACCCTGTCTGGGAAGGCAGACTGTGAACTTCGGTTTGTATGAGAAGCTATTCACTCACACAGCACATTGTCAAGAGGAGGAAAAAGGGAAGGATGGAGCTAGGCATGCCTCGTAGCTCCAGATTCACCAGCCAGAGAAGTTCCTGCAACCTTCATCAGGTGGAGAGTGACCTGGAGTGCCTCCCCACAGAGCCACACAAAGTCCAGCCCCTCATCCTGGGAAAACTACCTTTTATATAAATTTTTAAAGACTACTCCATTCAATAAATAATGCAAGGCAGTAAAAGACAAAGATGAAAATATCAACCAGTGTAAATAACTTCTTTATTTTGTCAATAAACCTTTCAAGGAAGTGACCAGAGCTTTTTCTGTGACCATTTCTGTAATGAAAACAGAGGAATTTAATTCTAACATTATTATTAAAACATATTACATTACTATTATTGCTAGTATTTAAGTCCAAGAAAGAACAGTGACTCCAAGAGGAATGATCCATAGTAAAAGTCTCTGTTTTTATGGTGAGAATTACAAAACTTATCAGGAAACACAGGCCCAACTTTGATGCTCAGTCATAACAACTCTATCAGCCTGCATAGTGTGTTTCCTCTCCTTCACTATTTACATTTTTAAATCTTATCCATATAAATAAACAGTTTCAAGATGTCTGTATCAGCATTAAAGAGAACAGGCTGCAAAGGTTTTTACCAACTGTAGAAAGTATATTTGTTATGGTCTGATGTAAAAGTTACTCTCTGTGTAATGAAACTTGCTCTGACGTGTGGGGCTGTGGGCGGGGGTCCAGATTTCAAAGGCCAAGACAGTCACCCTCGGAATGTCATGTGGCTGCTCACCAGCAGACCAAGGACTGGATTCAAGTACAGATCCCCAAGTAAAAGCCACAAGGGCAGATGCTGTGAGCTGCAGCCACTGCTGTGAAATGGAGAGGCTTCCCACAAGGGCAGCTCTGGAGAGCACGTTCTAGGGTGGGGAAAACAAGGGCTTGGTTATTAAAACTGAATAGATTTGTTCCCTTTGTAAAGCACTCTTAAATGCTTTATAAAAACAGTAAAGGATAGGTGAACTAATTAGCCTTTTTTTTAATTGTATAAAGATTTAGTTTTACTCTTAAAGTGGATAAGAGACACATTTTTAGCATTAACTTCACACTCTTGCACCAGATAAAGCCATCACACCCTCTTCCAATGCTAGGGATGGAGACTTTCACTCCTTATATCGTTCTTCCTTAAGCCAACAACTGCATGTCCATGCTATTTTGGGCTATTTTAGTGAAATAACTGACCTTTTGCCTTAGCATTGTGTTCATTTATGCATTCATTCATCCACATACTTCAATCTGGAAGTCAGACATACCTGAGTTCAATTTCTGACTCTGCTTCTTAATAACTGCATGAACTTAGGCAGATTTCTTACCTCCTCTGGATATAATGAGTGTCAACTTCCTAGAACTGCTTGGGGTGTTCCATGAGAAATATCACGCAAAATGGAAAACCTGTAATTGAAGCATCTATATAGATGTATTACCACATCCATAAATATTAACTCTACTAGTAAGCCTGTGGATTCCAGGATCATTACTGAGTTGTCTCTACTCCCAGGATAGCAGACAGGCAAGTGGCTAATGATAAGATTATGTGAAGAAGTTTAACATAGAGGATAGATCATTAGCCCTGAGACTGTTCATCTATCTGGTTCACATTATTTCTCAGAATTTAGAGTAGTGATTGGCCATGATGATGCAGAAAATACTCAATAAACACTTTTTTCCCCTACAAATCTTAGTTGTCCTTTATTTATTTTCTTTTCCTTTTTAAAAATTGTTTTATTTATATAAAAAGAACAGATTCCATGCATTCCATAGGTATGATTCCAAGAAGACAACCACGCTTCCCTTGCTCTCCTGCTCCCCCTTAATCCCCCTGCCTCCCTCCCCTGTCTTCAAGAAGCAGGTTAAAAAAATGTATGAATGAGTTAATGCCAAAATTACTGAATGAATGGATTATGGAGAGATGTGTGTACTACTATGGATATACTAGTAACGAATCAATTAATTTATCAGGACGAATGAGGGTGAGGCGTGGATTTGTGTTTTAGGAGAGGGTAGGAAGGGTAGAAGTTTGTTCAATGCGTGCCATAGGGCAGAGAGCAAAGGGGCAGACTTCTGAGGCCAGTGTTTGACCCAGTACAGAAAATCTCCATGTGCAGTTAGGGTCACATAGCTGAATTTCAAGACATAACTAGGTCACAGTTTCAATGGTGAGATCACAAATATCATTGTTAAGGAGGAGATGGAGAATGGGCATTTGGGGCAAAGTCAGAGGAAGAGAAGCAGCAGCAGCAGAGGCTGATCTGAAACATTCACAAGGAGTTCCTGTGAATACTGAGGCATTTGGACTTCATCCTGTGAGCAATGGGGAACCATTGACAGTCTGTAAGAAAGGGAGCTCCAGTTTAGGCTCTGACAGTGCTTTTGTGTATAAAACTTTCTGACTTTCACCATGGAGCTTTGCCCCCCACAAATTCTGTATCATAAATGAAAAGGTTGTCATTTATGCTGCCTGTGTAAATCCTGCCCCAGGCATTTGTACATGAGGTGTCTTTCCATTTTATCTTGTAACATCTAATGCCATCAGCTTTGAAGTAAGCATCTTTACTTTCAAGTTGCTTGGCATGCTTAATTCTGTGGTTACCTGATAAAATGTCTGTGGTTGTAAAGTTTAGAGCTTATTTCTTAACACTGCGGATAAATCAAAAAAGAAGAGTGATCATAGTTTTGGATTGGAGTTCATCAAGGAAAGGTTCCCCTAAGAGTCAAGGTTTAGGTACAGAATATAATGCAGTGAATCCATTTTATACACGTTATTAAATGGAAAAAATATGTATCTGAGAAGAAAATCCAATTTAAAGACTTCAGAGATCTGATATCTCCTTAAAATAGTGCTGGCTACAATATACTCTCTCCCTGAAGAAATATTTATTTGCCTCATGAATCTTGGACCTATGAAAGAAAATGGCAGTTGCTGAAATATAATTTAGGGTGGTAGAAAAAGTGAATTGATAGAAAAAAGTTGAAAGTCAGGATATTTTATGTAGCGATCTTAGGGAAAAGAATATAATGAACAACATCAGATGTACAGGATTTTAGACTAATTGGTCATGTTAGAAAGCAGAAATACAAAATTATCCTTCAGAATTTTGGAAGTAAAACCTGATCTTGTGTTTAATACACAAAGCCCTCTTGGCCTTAACACATCCTTCCTACATGCCCATTTACAGGACAAGGGAGTTCAAGCTGTTAATGGCAGGAATGTCTACCTTTGGGCCTTTAAAACCAGGTTCAAACCAATCACAGTCTCTTTCTTAGGTCTTAAAATAAGATCAAACAGTGCAAAATTCCCTTACTAGTGTTTAAGCCCAGTTGCCTCTGTCCAGATGACTCCTATAATCCAGCCAGGCAGAACACCTCACCCTGCTGTTCCTGCTGATTTTCTGCATGCCCTTTGATTGTAAGTAATTATCTCCAGCTGTCCCTGCACCCTGGCCTCCTTTAACTCCTCAATGCCTGGCCTCAGAGACTGCCACGCTGGAGCAAATGTAAGGCCCAAGTATCCCTAAAGGAAGTGTGTGGGCACTGGCCATAGTAAACATATTTTGGTATCTAGGTAGTGCCAAGTCTCTACTTTCTCCCCTCATTGTCTTGAAGTTCTTTGAAGGCACACCGTGAAGAGCAAGAAATAAACCTCCCAAAGAGGTCTTCCCAAATTTGAATACAGTACTCTTACCAAGTTAATGACAGCCCCTTAGTCCATCTACTGTTGTATTAGTGATACAAAAACAAAACCAAAATGCACATTTCTTTTTCTTGACAGTTGATATTTGTTCTTTTAAAAATAATGTTTTGCAACTTGGAAAATGTTACTTTTGGCTGAAATATCATCTACCATCTTTGCACTGATTTTTGCTTTGGGAGGCAAAAAGAGATAAAAAAATTTCATTGGTACAATTACATCTGTATTGAATATATGTTCTTCTAGGAATGAAGTAAAAACTGATATTTTTCAGATTTTTACATTTGACATTTATGTACCTTAGTTAACAAATGTTTTATTTTGGAACTTATAATTTAAGAAATTTGAGAGAATTCCTGATTTCCATAGGTATTAGCTGAGATAACTTTCAAAAAAGAAAATCATCAGTCACATCTTTAATTATGTTGTAATATTTGGCAAAAGTTCTTGACTACAAATCTTTAAGAATAAGAAGCAGAGAGCTTTGGAAGAAACCTTGAGTTGAGTGGCACAGCAAATGTATTTGGAAGCCAGCTGTGCCTTTGCTCCTTTCCCAGGATAGAAAAGGGGAGGAGAAAAAAGATCCTTGAGGTTAATAGTAATTTCAAATAATACATAGTAAAGTGTATTAGGATTCTTCAAAGAAACAGACCAATAAGGCACACAGAATAGACAGACAGAGATTTATTTTGAGGGCTTGGCTCACTTGATTATGGAGGCTGAGAAGTCCTGGATCTGCCCTCAGCAGAGCTGAGGCCCACGAAAGTTGATGATGTCATCCCAAGCCAAAGCTGGAGGACTGAGAACCAGGGGAGTCAGTGGCATAAGTCACTGCATAAGCCTAAAAACCAGAGAACTACCAGTGCCATTGTCTGAGGGCAGCAAAAGATGTATGTCCTACCTGCCCTACATCAAGAAGAGAGCAGATTTGTTCATCCTCTGCCCTTCAGTTCCCTTCAGGCCCTCAGAAGATTGGGTGACCTGAGAGTAAATCTCTTTACTCAGTCCATTGATTCATATGCTAATCCCTTCTGCAAATAACCTCCACAACAAGTCCATGAACAATGCTTTACCAGCTATCTGGGCATCCCTTAGTCCAGTCAAGTTGGTACATAACATTAAGTATCAGAAAAAGAGTGATAATTTAAGTACCCAATATTATAAAACCATCTAAATAATGGCATACTTTTGAATTTGTAATATTATATTGCCAGCAAACTGTAACATGTATATGTATATACAAGGACATGAATAGATAGTATCATTCATGTTTCAGTGAAGAGTCTCACTAAAAAGAAGTCTGTAGTATGATTCCAATGTAATACATTACCATGTGTTTTAGGTTATCAGACTAGTTATTAAGGGTATTGGTTCTATTGGCATGCACCCTCAGTGTTAGTGATCTCCACCATTGGGCCTAGTGACCTGAGAAAAGCTGATGCATTTTTCTAGGCTTCCAGTTCTTCACTTATGAATGGAGATAAGAATCATATTGACACTGTTTGTCAGAGCCAAGTGGTTTAATGTATGTGAAAGCCCTGATTCATAGAAGGGCTTGATAAAGATTAGTTTTATTGTCATCATTAGTAGTACTACCTGTATTTATATTTATGTTCTATTTTTATATACATGTATAACAAATATGAAGATAAAAGGTAATAATTTTGTTCTTTGTGTATATAAATACAATAATCTTGTATTTATAAGGAAACAGGCACACACATATACACACACAAAATCAACAAACATAGTATGTTATTTGTAAGGAAGAAAACTTGAACATGAATCATGGTTCACCTATTTGAAACCAGTTTTTCTGGTCTTCAGAAAGGAATTTTATGTCTTTCAGTACTCAGATTCTTTATCCAGAAAACAAGACCAAATATAAACTACTTCATATGATGATCATGTAGTCATATTAGTACATCTTTTTAGTTTTAATTTCTCAAATAGTTTCTATGTTCTATGCACTAGGCAAAGTGCTTTCAATACATTTTCCCACTTAATGCTCACTAAAAGGTGAGAAACACAAAATAGCTATTTTCTTATTTTCAAATAAGTATTGAAATGTCACATAAACATTTCAATAAAAGCAATTTGTCCAAGCATACTCTGAAGTGAGAGATAAGCCCGAACATAAACTCTTATTTTCATTAAGACTTTTTTGAGCATGGTTGGTCTTTCTTCAGCACTGAGAAAGTTGTTTGACTCTGCAGTTAATTTTAGGGTAATAGAATATGGTTTCCATACGCAAAACAATAATTCTTCTGTAATGTACTTTTCTCAGCAGTGTAACTTACAGGAATATGTTCCTACTTAGATCAAAGAGAATCTGATCAAAGTTTCTAGTCTATGCTGCCCATAATCTAGTAATAACCTCCTCACCCCACCTGGCCTTGGTAACCAATATGATTTTGCTTCTAGGTCAGCTTATTATCCCTTATATTGTTGGTGGGTATGTGCATCAAGTGGATCAACTTCCTGTAATAGACATTTTCTTTGGGTATGATTTTGTCCTCTCTGTGTACAAACGTTATGCAAAAACTATGATCCACTGACTTATTAAATGCTTCATCTGCCGTTATGATATTCCACATAATGGCACTTCTGAGCATGCAAATCTTTCTGCAGGAAATGTACTGGGGCAATGAGCCCATGTTCACATAATCTCACTGGCCTTATCATGTATCCCATTAGTATGATACAGCTGGCTTGATAAAATGGAGGAACAACCAGTTACTATGCAACGTAGGTGGTACCACCAGGCTAGCCTGAAGCACTCTTGTCCAGGAAGTTGTATTTATTCTAAAGCAATGCCCAATGCATGCTGCTGTTTCTCCTAAAGCCAAGATTTACTGGCCAGAATTCAAAGGTAAAAATTGGAGTGGCACTCCTATCTTTTACGATTAGTGATTCACTGGTAAAAACTTTTGTTTCCTATCTTGGCCTTATGGTCTGCTGGTGTTTTAATCCATTAAGGCTGCTATTAAAAATAACACCATTTGGGTGGCTTATAAACAAGAAAAGTTTATTTCTCACTATTCTATGAGGCTGAGAAGTCCAAGATCAATGTGCTGGTGTATTTGTCATGTGGTGACTGCTCATTTTCTGTTCATAAATAACTGTCTTCACATTGTGTCATTACATTCAAGGAGGGTAAGGAAGATCTCTGCCTCTTATGATGGCACTGAGCCAGTTCATAAGGGTTCTATCAATACAACCTGATCACCTCCTAAAGGCTACACCTCCAAATACCCTCACAATGGGGATTGGATTCCAACATACGGATTTGAGGCACACAAATATTCAGTCAACAGCAACTGGTCTAGAGGCCATCATTGAAATGTTTTCATTGGAAAACATAGCAATGATTACACTAAACTGGAAGTTAAGATTGCCACCTGGCCATTTAGGGCTCCTCATCTCTCTGAATCGACAGGCAAAGAAAGAATGGTTGATCCTATCACAGAGAGGATTTTGACTGCCACTGTACAATGTCGGTAAACAATGGCCAGCCTGTAATGCAGGAGATTCCTCGGGACATGTCTTAGTACAATGACAGGTGCTTAAAATCAATGGTCAGCGACAACTACCCAATTAGTGATTCTTCCGAAA